TGCATGGTCACATTTTGCTCTCTATTACATTTACATATAAAATGAGGACTAGTTCTCAACTTTAGATAACTTTCTCACCATAAACAGCCAAAAAGGAATTTGTACTTTTGTATTAATATATATCTTTGGACTTCAACTGTCAAGGTAACATTTCCTATTTATAAAGCAATAGCTTCATAATGATAATTGAGCTTGTCAAATAGCGTCTTATTTAACAACCAAATCTTTAGAATCAAACAGGGTTAGAGTTCTCAATTTAAAATAAAAACAGTGCTTACCTTTATTTTCCACAAGGAGGAACCAGTGATTCAAATTTAGCTACAGATGGCCTTGGATTCGTATGTAATACTGCAGGGTTTCACAAGATGGCAGGAATATACAGTCCTGCTCACCATTATTGGCACCCATGAAGTTTAAGTACATATAGTGGAATATTTTTTGAAGGAAATTCATCAAGTGAAACAACATTTTACTGCTGATAGCTTATGCTCAATGCAAAACAGCAGATGATAAAAAACATTTAAAAAGATAAACATTATGAGGAAAACAAAGAAAAACATAATGTTTACCATGTCAATGGTATTGGCACCCTTTGCAGCAAATCAGTATGAAAACCCAATTCGGCTCACCTGTTGCAAATCACAAATAAAGATCACTTGCGATGAACTACCTCCACACATGTGACATGAATTAACCAATGAATGATCATGTTGGTACTTTAAAAGCCACCTGTTAGTCCATCTTCACATGTGACAATGGTAAAGACAAAGGAGCTGACTGAGGACACCAGAAATGCTATTATTTGTAAGCACAAGACCTCCAAAGACCTCGGTATCCCTGTTTCAACGGTGCGTAATGTTATTAAGAAGTTTTCCAGGCATGGAACGGTCAAGAACCTCCCTGGACGTGGGGGGAAGAGAAAAATTGATGACAGAAGTCTTCGACGGTTGGTGCAAATGGTGGAAAAAACACCACGTCAAACATCTAAAGACCTAAAGACCAACCTGGAGCAGTCTGGTGTGATTGTTTCAACAAGTACTATACGGCGCACACTAAACAAAGTGGGGCTTTATGGGCGGAAGCCAAGGAAGACCCCATTGCTGAAGAAAAGACATAAAAAAGAACGCTTGATCTTCGCAAAAGAGAACCTGGACAAACCTCAAGCCTTCTGGGACAACGTTTTATGGACAGATTAAACAAAAGTGGAGCTTTTCGGTAATTCACACAAACAATATGTTTACAGACGGTGCAATGAAGCCTTTAAAGAAAAGAACACCATACCAACAGTCAAGCATGGTGGAGGATCCATAATGCTGTGGGGCTGCTTTGCGGCATCTGGTACTGGAGGGCTTGACCGTATCACAGGCATCATGAAATCAGAAGATTATCAAGCAATTCTAGAGCGAAATGTCTTGCCCAGCGTAAGAAAACTTGGTTTGAGGCGAAGATCCTGGGTCCTCCAGCAAGATAATGACCCAAAGCACACCTCCAAAAACACGCAGGCATGGTTGAAAGGGAAAAACGGACTGTTTTAAAATGGCCAGCAATGATTCCAGATCTCAATCCAATTGAGAATCTTTGGAGGGTGCTGAAATCTGCCATTGGAGAAAGGAACCCTGCAAATGTACAAGAGCTTGAGCATATTGCAAAAGAAGTGTGGGAGAAAATGCCACCCGAGAAGTGCAAGAAGCTTATAGATGAATATAAGAAACGTTTGGAGGCTGTCATTGATGCCAAAGGCTGTGCAACCAAATATTAAGGAGGGGTGTCAATATTAGTGCACATGCTGGTTTTCTGTTTTGTCCTTTGCAATTAAAATATTTATGTTGAAATGGCAATTGTCTTTGTAAAATTACTTTGGACCTCAAATTGAAAGATACTGCTGATTTAAGTTTTGAACATTTCCATTTATTTCTGAAGATATTCACTCAGCTATGCAAAACATGAAGGGGTGCCAATAATGGTGAGCAGGACTGTATGTTATTTGTTCATTAGTCTGAACCTACAAAAAAACAAAACAATGGATAATAAATAAGATGCTACACACAATGAAAATGATTTTGTTCCTTTGCTATGTGACTTTGATGTCAGAAACACAAAAGGCGCCCTAATTCAAGTCTGATAGAATTAATCCAAACGATTACAAGATTCACTGAAAGAGTATGTAATGTAACAAAAATGTACACATCTCATGTTTTGTATTACTTGTATCAATGATCACATGCGTTTATGACTGTGATGTAAACAGATAATTGAAAGCAGAAACCTTGGCAATTGTTATCTTATATCTTAACTTTAGGCAAAAATACTTTTTAACGTATAAAGTCTTAAAATGCGCCACAAATCTGAAAATGTACGAAACAGGGGCGGTCTACATTGGCATGCCACTGTGGATTTTTTCCCCCCTTGTACTGTATATCCTCCATGAGCTTCTTCCACACAACCTGCCTCTATAATCAGGCCACTGAAGAGTGGAAGAGAAGGTCTTGCTTCATCTTTCATTCAAGCTGTGTCAGTATCAATCACGACACACCGGTGATAGATAGGCAATCTAATAACACTAGGAGCAAAATAACCACTCACTCAATCCTTGACCTTACAGAGCAAGCAGTCAGTTTGGTTAAAAGCTACAGCTTTCACATAAAATGGATTTTTCTTTTGAATCATTTGCGGCGGAAGCATTTGAAGTAAAACGACCACAGAGAGCTGTCACAAATAAATAATCGCCGTTGTCCTGGATTTATACGCTTCCTCCACCTCCTCTGGAGCAGCCTGCTTTAAAGAGGAGTTTTGGCTGTTCAGCCCAAATAAAAGACGATGCAAGCGGGTTTTCTGGAGCAGCTGAGGAACTGCCTCTGGAGGAGGAACCATCTCAGCATGGGTAGAGCCGGAGGAGAGACACAATTACCATCAAAAGGCGGTGGCCATGCTACTGCTGAGGCGCCACACAGGACACAGAGGAAGTGGGGAAACATTTAGGTCATGCCGAGTTCAAAAGCAGACACAGCAGAATGTGTGTGTGTGTGTGTGTGTGTGAATCTGTGACAATGCAAATTTGATTTAACAGAAGGGAAATGTTTACAACTCAAGAGCATGACATGGAAAACATCCTGTCCTGCGAGAGATTACGATGATGGTTTGATAAAAGTAATGATGATGGGGTTGAGAACATGAATGGGTCTGAACAAAATATTGTGCATCATGCAAGTGGCTGTACATTATAGTGTTGCAAGCTGAAGCAGTTTGGAGTTGACAGCTGTTTAAGACCAGCTATTTTTCTTCTTGTTTTTTTTTTTGTCACCTCAAATGACGACGACTTCAACCAGCTGAACCCCGTTCCACTGAGGTCGCTGCTGCATCTGTGTCGAGGGTTTTGCCAAGGAGCCTTTTTTACTAAATCCCCCTGAAACTGAAGTCCAGATTAACTGAAAAAAAACAAGGGATTTAGTCATATGACAGGGGAAGGTCTTTCAAAGTTTTCCTTTAGACATTAACTACTTTATCACTTATTTTCAGTTCTTCTGACAATTTCAGAGGAGATTTGCCTTGTTTGTCTGCTTATCGAGCAACTTAAAACTGTCCGATGAAGAATATAAAAAATGACTTTATAATTATGGGATAAACAAGATTGACACACGTTAAATAGCTTTTTTTTTTTAAATTGGACAGACTTGATATCTTTAAATGATGTATTCTTATTCTAAATTGCTGCCCCCATTTCCTACCTTCCTGGAAAAACCTAATGAAAAGATGGGTGGCTCAAGACTGTTAATGTCCGCTGTATAATGAAGAGAGATGAGGTTTCCATGATGCTCAATTGTTAGACGTAATGAACTTCAGGGTAAGACTTAGTTCAGCTGTTGTCTGTTTTGATGTAAACAGCACTTGCTTTTACATCTCCACTAGTGTCAGTAGCAGTTAAATAATGATGACGAATGCTCTAAGATTAGAATCATTTGCAAATTACTTGCATCCCCCAAGAGCAGCAATGCCTCGGGTCTATTTGCAACATTCTTGTTTTTTCTCTATACTTTTTTTTTCACGGAAAGAAAGAATATTTAACATTGAATACGAAAACGGGTTGCAACAACAAATCTAATTTCTCTCGTCTTCAGTCCAAACACATCTAAGTCACAGCTTGCAGGAAATCAGTAAACATATCAATATTCAGTCGATATTACCTCTATTCTGGGGCCAAGAGAACCTTGTATCACTCTTTTAAACACTACAGGGAGTTACCACTAATGATCAAAATTCTAAGAAAACATTAAATAAGCGCCTCATAATTAATCTAATTAGGAATTTCTATCCATAATACAACACTCTACATATCAGAGTTGACCTTTTTTGATGTGAACAAAGCAAAAGTGCATCTTTTTCCACCTTCAAAAAGAATCAAATGACACAATGATTAAATATCCATTTGTTTTTAGCTTTGTTGTGCTTGCGTAAAACCAGGAAGTGTGTTCCAAAGCGGGGATATCCAGAATGCACGATATCCAACTGCCCTGGATGCAAACCATGATGACTTGTGTGGTCAGATATGCCCATTTGAAATTTTTTGCAGCACATCTGAAGAATCCTCTGACGGAATGCATTTCATTATCTAATCGCTATGTCATTTGGAGGATGCAAGACTCTTGAGTTTTATTCACAAAACCACTGTTTTCTGGGGATTCTTTTGTAAGCAACCAGGCTGAATTCTACTAGTGATGCACGTTTTGTAACGTTGAAAGTGATCGAATTGAAAAAGGCAGCTGATGGCATCTTCAACACAAACCCAAGGATGATAAACCCACTGCTCTGGCTCCAGAAAAATCTTTACTCGCTTCATTAGTAGAGGCAGTATCCAAGCTTCTTAGAGAAATTTGAGGCTGTATAAATTACCACCGTGCCAGATTACGTGAAACTGAAGTTTCTAGACTAAATTTGGGGACAAAACAACGGTAGATAAAGAAATTTGAGTACACCATGGAAAGGAACAGGACTCAAACGTAAACACGTATCAATATTTTATTTCCAATACTAAGTCAGAAGTTGATATTTCGCAGATGCGTAATCACAACTAAAAATAAAGCAGCATCATTTCTATGAGAACTGCATCATTTTCCCTACACACAGGTTTACACAGTGTCAACCATGTCACTTATTCAGCTGTTTCAGTGCTAAGCTACACTGCAGGGATCCTGTTTAGAAAACAAAACACTGCTTGTTTGTGACTTTATGGCAGATGCCAGCCGAAAGGTCAAAAACACACATGACGTTCGCTGTGGAGGGATCAGTCCAGTAGGGTACCCCTGCCTGTCTATGGAAGATCCCCTTGGGAGAGATGACTCCAAAGGCTTTTTTTGAACTCAGCGAGCTTCAAAGTGAGACCCCCTTCTTCAGGTCCTGATTCCATGAAAGCAGACAGCACCGAGCTCAGACGCCTACACCTGATTCATTCATTTACAGGCTCCCAGGATCCCATCCAGTGCAGAGAAAAGAGCATCTAACATTCAGTCAAACATATTTAGTGAAATTATCACACACTTGATTTTCAGTGAAATGAAAGATAAAAGCAACAAAAATGGGCAATATGGGCAAAAACCTGCATCAAAGACTGAAGTTTTACCTCTGTTTCATTTAAAAAAATACAGTGGGTTAACAGTGGTTCCTTAAATAAAGTTGTAGGCATTACAGAATGTTCCACACAAAAGCTCAAAACAAGTCTGAAAAAGCCAAAGACTTCTTGAAGCTGGCCTCATCTTGATGTAGAAGCTGTTCAGTCCAAAACACAGAGGAATCACAGCAGAGTTTTGCTTCCTGCCTTTAACATCTGACTGAATGTTGAACGATCTATTCCTTAGTTAATGAGGTGTCATTTTCACTTGATATAGAAGGTGTGACCTTATTAAACTGCAAGTGACTAGATGACGCGAAAGCTGAAATGCAAAAAAATAATCTCATTTTGTCTGTAACGTCCATATGAAGCCCTCAGGCTGATTGTTTGGAGATGTATCGCTGACATTTAAGGCTCAATTTGGAACTGGGCAGCTAAATGAAACATACAATTGCTGAAATGTCAGAAGAAGAAAAAAAAACTTTATTTAATTTACAATGAAACAACTAATAAAAGGCTAACAAATAAACGTTTTACATAGGGGTCAGGATCAAATTGAATAAATTAAGAGCAACAGCCTTCTGACACTCAGCAAAAAAACTCACAAAAATTAAGAGAATGACCCATGATAACAGCTAAACCAGTGCGCTGTGAACGGGTTATTTTATACAGAGGCACATTGCTCTTTAAGGCGGCTTTCCTGAGACAGTTTCATGCTTTTCAGACGCCGTTCTTGTTATTCTATTCTTTTAAATTCATTTCTGACAGCCAATTCAATTAAGTTGGATATGTGTGGGTGTAAAAATAAGCAACATGACAAACTGGGAAGATGGATGGCAACCTTTGCTTCACCATTAAAATCACAATCGCGTCGCATTGGAGCTCAATCTACTGCCGTATTACAAGCGGTAGCAAAATGAACAGACAGGGTCATAAGTAACCACCCTCTGCAGTACAGCTCAGCTGCTTTCAAAATGGATCTGCATGCTTGAAGATTTCAAATTTTCTGCAACTGGCGGTCAAGAACCGTATAATGAAAAAGCTCATTTAAAAAAAAATTCTATAGACAGACTAAGAAAATTTAAATTTGTCAATTGTTTCATTTTCAGAAATGAAGGCAGGTTGACTCATCAGCCGCCTGACCTTAATGGCAGCCTGAGGGTATGCGCCGTCTAGCAAAATCCTTTTAGGAGTCACTATAGGCTGGGGAGGGGTCGACCTGCTGGTGAATGAAGGAGTAAAGGGTGATGCCTGGGGGATGACTGAGGCAACTTTGGCACACAGAGCTATAGTACTTCTCCAGAAGATCATACACCTCCCCTGTGATGGAGACAAGATGATTGCTTTTATTGGTTGATGCTCTGGGAAGAAAAATTGCATTTCATTTTCAGGATTAATAATTGGCTATAAAGTCTCTCCTTAGATAACGTCACTATCTATAAAACTTAAAGAGAGTAATATCTTTGAAAAAAGACAGTTAAACAGTTTAATACACAAAAAAGGAGCAGCCGGGAAATCTGCTCGCCTTACCAACACTGATGTTTCTTTGCGTGAGGAATGAGTGCATGTTGTGGACATCGATCATGAGTTTGCTGTCACCAAAGGTGAAATAAGCTACATCACGGCCCGCCTCAGCAGCTGCCAGCATCTGGAGCAAAGCTGAACAAAAATAGATTATTTCACTGTGCTACAGGAGCTAAACTTGATACATACACAACCTTAATAAGGCACAAAGATAAAAAAAAACAACACTAAAATGATACAAATTTAATTAAGATCTCTTTTACCATACACTTTTATTGCTTGAAAATATTTGAAAAAAGGTCATCCATTTGCTTATTTTGTTAAAGAGTAAAGTGTATAGGTCTTCGTAGCATGTATGGTAGAGGTAATCAGGGGGAATAGGTTTCACCCCCACAGAGAACCCTGGATCAGTTAAAAAGAAAATCCGGGACTGGCCCCGGAGAGCTGTGAATATTTTAAGAGACTGGAAATATGTCTGCTAATTAATTAAAAGTTGGGACACTACGAAGGTAATGAGGAAAACTGAATCAACACTTCTAAACAGGGGGGTGAGATAAGTAATTCTACATTATAGCTGTGTCATCCCAGTGCTGAGTTTAAAGAGATTTCCACAAAAATCTGATGGAAATTACAAAAACAGGTGGCTACGAAGGGGCATGGAAACTAAATCCAAAGATCAGGATCTGAATAGCGTGGCTCTTCCCTTGAGGCATGTCATTAAGCAGACAATAGGTCATCGTACCTATTAAAGAGCTGTATCTTGCTGTGGCGACTTAATAATATGCACTGATGTATGTACAGTTTGCTACTCAGAGGGCTCCAAGTCACTGAGAGCAAGAGGGGGAGCTACTATAGAAAGAAATCTCCCTAACCTCCACGCTTAAAGACTTAGACACAAGGGACAAGCACAAATCTGGAACAGATGGATGAAGTAAAGCAGGCGATCAATTTCACTATTAATGCAATGTATTAACTTTGTCATTTGATCAATAAAAGGAAGGCAACAAATAGGCCTTAAGTAAATGGAAGCATTCCCAGAAGACAAATGGATACCCGTGCTGTTCTGCAGGAGCTTTTCAACGAGAAATGTATTCTGCCGCATTGAGAAAAAGACACCAATTAAACTGCAAAGTGCGCTGGGATGATCTGAGAAATCTTCTTCTCAAAATCTGCTGACGTCAATGTTACATCAATGCTTACCTTTGAGATGCGTGTCACCTTTAAAAGCCCCACAGCCCCAGTTTCCGGTTGCCACTGCCGAGAGGTTCTGGCCCTCCTTCTCAGGACGTGCAAAGCCACAGTAAGCCTAAGGACAAAGGACAAACAAAGACCATGCTGAAGGCAGCATATCCAAGAGGCAAGTGTAAAAGCAAAGGAAACCCAAGTGATTACTTTGTTAAACAACCACAGGGACATAAAAAAAAAATTAAAAATCAACAGAAAGAGCTATTAACCTGTCTACAAAAAATGTATTTTAGTGACAGCCTTAACTGCCAAAGAGTCAAAACTGAAAGAAATGCAGAAATGTACTCAATAAACGTGATGTCCATCAGCCCTTTATTTGTTTGGCTTGGTAGAGATTTCATTTCTATCCCTCTGCATTTTCACAGCCATTCACTTGGTTGCTTTGGCATTAAATTGACATGGTCTGTATGTATTAATAACTGAAAATGGCCACATATGTAGCCCGTAGCATTTGACATGACAGATCAGGTGGGCTGTGGGCTGCAATAAAAATTAGGCCAAATGCTGGGAAAATGAAAGATCTGAGTGGTCTCTAGACATTCATTCTCACATTGGCATAAAAATGCATGGTGAAAATGAATTGTAAGTGCCCATCCTCCGCCCTGACCAGTCATAAATTCTTCTTGTGAAAGGGCAAATATGACAGTTCACTGAACAATACTCAAAAGGGGATTGATCTCCATGTTGGTGCATTCTTCACACTCTTGTCAGAACTGTCAAACTCCTCCATGCTTTTTGACAGCTGACCTGACAACATCAACATCTTGATTTTTCATTACAAATGGACATTATTCCTCCGGGAAGAATACATATATGGCAAACCTTGAGTTTAAGTAAAAAGATTAGTGAATAGAATGATCTTGCTTACATGCACCACAGACAGTTGTGCTAATTCAAGTCTATTCTGGGCATTCTGAACAGTATAATGATTTAAATCATTTTCATTAATCAAAACTATCTCAAACCAAGAAATGCACATTTTCCCAAAGGAGCACAAATGATTAAATTGAATGTTTTTTCTCGTTAATTTTAATCTGAGGTGCACAATGTAGAAGCTATAAATGCTTCCCTCGTCGCGACATGCCAAAACAAGGGAAGCAAAATAAAAGGAAATAAAAAAGAATGAGAGAAAAGCCAGTAAAAAAATAAAATAAACAAAAAACAAAAATTAATCACCTTGTTGAGTTCTCTTCTGATTCTCTCTGGTTGAAACTGTTCAAGGAAGTTTCTGAACTGTAGAGCATCAATGGCAACTATCTCAGTGCATCTTCTCTGCCAGTCATCACTGGAAAGAACAGTGGATTGGTACCATTTTAGTACAACAAAATAAGTAGGTTCAGGTCAACTGACACAGCAAGTTGTCATAGCAATATGCAAATAAGGGTCAGTAAAACTGACAGCGTGCATTAAATTCTGACAATAAGCAAGTCTATAAGAGTCTCAAATGAAGGTATTAGACAGATTTTATATGTAACACTGTGACGAAAGGTTGCTGGTGAGTATTCACCACACAGAAAAAACAAGTGATGGTTACATTTCTATAGAAACTCGTTAGCTTGTGAGATTTTGAAAATGGCAGGTGGGAAACCAAACAGTCAACCCACCAAAATGAGGGGCTGTATGCGTTAAATACCTTGGTGTTGTGTCCTGGCAGCTTCCATCCCACTCATAGGTCTGAGAATAGCCTTTGTATTTACTGTACTGCTGAGTTCCTAATACATGGAAACATCAATTAACCTTTATTGCCAATCGAGAAGAAAAACATATAAATCATTTTTTGAACATAATCAGAACTCAAACTTCCACTTGTATTCAAGATCCCAAAATGAGAAATAAAAAACTATTCAGCAGAAAGAAATAAGGAATATGTCCTACATGAATTTTGTGAGTTTTAATGGAATAAAAGCCACCAAGTAAAAGCAATGACATGGTAAAAAATGCTAATGAGACAAAAAATACCAATATTGAATACAAAGTATCTTTCTACTGTTGTAAATATTATGATCAGCTGTAAAAAATCATCAATGACATAACACCTCAGCTACTCTATCAGTGTTTAATTTAGCATAAATTGACATTTACTGGTTCTTCAAAAACAAACTCACAAACACAATGTTCTGCATCTGAAAGGAAGATTCCTCAGCAACACAATGAATTATGTTTTAGATTTGTATGCATCCCAAATGTCCTTTGAAGATGATATTTGGAGGAGATTCATTAAGGCTGGATTTAAAAAGACCAGACTGTTTGTTGGACTTATTCCAATGTTACTAACGCAAAAATCTGGACGTAGGCTTCACAATGTGCTAAAGGTCCTTCCATTCATGTGTAAATACTCCACATCAAAGAGTTTCATGTTTCAGTTGGACCAGACACTGAAAGGTCAGGTGAAAATCTCCGCATGTGGATGCTAAAATGGGCAATAGAAAGAAAGTTTTATGGCTGTATTTAGTTAGTTTGTTTTTTAAATGGGGCGGAGGGGGCACGGTTGTATTCTAAGAAAAAAAAGTCAATAAATCAAAGACATTTGTCTATACTGAGTATTATAGAAGTCACATATAAAATACAACAATGTTGTCCAAAAACGGTTTCAGGAGGGATTAAAGCTCAGAGTGTAATATCAGTACTTGTTTTTCTGGACACTGCTGTCCGTTATATGAGAAAAAAACCCATGCCAACCCCTCCTGCTTATGTCAGGCATTCACTTTGTTTCTGGTCAGTACAGCCATCAGTGAATCACACAGCTTCTCCTTGATGCTATTTATACTTTTGACCGCCAAAACGGCAGCCAGATATCTAATATTCAAGAAAAATTCAATTAGCTGGAGCACTTTCACAAATTTCAATGGGGGGGGGGGGATCCATTAGATATGGTACTGTAGGCCAAGACCTCTCATTTACCACATAACCACAATGCAGCTCAGGCTTGGACTTTTACAACAGGGGATACAGGCTGGGTTTAATAACGATGATGGAATGGTAGGGTCCATTAGCGGAGGAGCTCTTGGGCAGGTTTTCCACCTATAATTAATTCTGAGTCCAAGTAATAAAGTTAAGTGGTGTAAGTGGAGGCATGGGAAAGATGGTCAGTCAGAAATGTGAAGGTGACTTTGCAAAAGTGGGGAGCTGCGGTGTGTACGGTGGGTAAAATGATGACGTCTGAGTTGTCTCCTACGCAGTATTGTTACGTAATATTTCTTTTTTCATATGTAACAGGAGGTAATAAATTTTAAACGATTTATTCTTATTTGTTAGGGACATAAAATAAGCCATTATACTGAGAAACTGCTTTTTGCTTTTAGGGAAAATTGTTTACAGACAGTCTGCTTATGGAAGTTCTGGAAGTCCATAAAAATGTGAAAAGCCAATAAGTCAGCCCGATGAGGTGATAAAAACAAAAAAGCTCAAGATTTTTGTCTTTTTACAGAAAAAAATTAAGGCAAAGTACTAAAATTGCACAAAATTAGAAAATAAATCAATATTTGATTTTACTGTTGTATGTTGTAATGATGACATGACTTCTTATACTTACACAAAATATGTAAGGTAAAAGTAGCACTGATCTTTGATGTCTTAACAGAGGGTGCACTCCTCTCCTGCAGTTGTACATGCTGGATAGTGGTCGAACATGCACAAAAGCAGATGTTCTTCCAGTGGAATCAAGCCCTCATTAATACACCTTTGCTTGCCCTAATTCAAGCCAAAATGTCTTTGGGATGTTGATATTGAGCATACTGATCATAAGAAATTATACATTCTTGATATACTATAAGTTCTACTTGAACTTTTGGAGTGAGTAAAGCACAAGCCTTAATGAGTCCTCCCTCATTTATATCATTTTAACATGAAAAAAAATAAAATACTGCATAAGTCCAACTAAAATTGAACTGGGCCACTGTGCAAATTGGACATGGGGCTCTGCAAATGCTTCATGTGTCAAAACAACAAAACTAAAATAAATATTAACACAGTTTAATGTTGCAAAACGACAACTGGATGTGTATTGGCTTTGTTTTGACAAGCTATTCCCATGTTATTAGTTCTGTGGTTTAATTGGGTCATCAGGCCCAATCAAACTGCGACAACAGTTCTGGCACAACTGATTTGGGAAGGTGGAAAAACAGACAGGTGCCATCAGCCTCCTGCTGGGACCGCTTCAGTCTGCCTCTTGTTACTGGGTCTATACATGCTTCTCACAGCCCTGTTTGTTGTAAACATTCAATTGTGAGGTATAGTGAGTGGGAATAACTCAACAGGAAAAACCCAACAGAGCAATCAGGATAGACAACTCTCCATCAGCCCCTCAGCCACTGGAGCAATCTAAAGGAAACTTGTGACAAGGACAGAGACAGAAAAAACACAGCAACTGCCATAAAAATCTGCCGGTGTCTTGCTGAGTCAGGATTGGATAAATTCCAGCAGTGCAAATTGTACTCCATGCTGTGCTTGACTGGAGAGCCAGACAATTTCTTTCCTGTCAAATTATTAGTTAAGTGTGAGGGGATGGCATTACAAATCTGATCTGGATGTAAGGACTCAATTCTGAATTAGTGAACAGTATTAATCTTTCACTGGAAATCATTTACAAGGTGAGGGAGAGTTTGCTTTAACTGACCTGTGATGATGAGACATTCATTATGATCTAGGGCCTCAGTGAAGAGACGGGAAACTATTAGCTCAGGGTTAATAAGAAAACGGATCTCCTCTTGAACAAGGCCGGAACTGGTGACTCCTCCTCCCACAAACTTGTTGGCAAAATCTACCTGCAGATGAAGACAGATGTCCGATAAGAAAGGAAACATTCTAGAACATCCAAACCATCTGAAACTTTTTTTTGAAGTTTAAGAGTAGCGTTGTCTCAGATGGTAAAAATATTCCCAATCTCGCACGAGGAGAAAATACATCTCTGCCCTATTTTTTAACTTGTGACAGAATCTGTGACAAGCTGATTGTGAAGGTGGCCTGAGGTGCTGGCATTACTCAGAAAATCTGTCCACAATGCCAAAATGAGCTCTGAGATCACCCTGGGAGCAGCACTTTAGTTTGCCGCTGCCAGCAGCAAATATCAAATAAAAAAGGGAAGTGTTATAGTACAAGTAAATATCTTCATCTGCTAAACCAATTTTAATGTGTTGGAGTCGCAGCTTATTTAAGCTAAGAAACAAATTATTATTCTAGTCTGCATACAAGTCCAATGAACAATGTCCTATATTTTCAGGACTGACAGTTGTGACTTTTTGGCCTCACAACCTCAGAGATATTTTACAAAAGGATGAGAAGGCTTTGAGCAGATCTGCCCAAAGTGGTCATTCAACACTGGGACAGCACGCCAGCCTCCAAAGCCTGCTTTGACAAGCTGTCAGAGCCTCAACCTTACCCCCCACCCCAGCAGAGCATCCATCAATCGCAGCCACGGCGAGCCCGTAGCAGGCCGTGTGTGCGTATCAGCTGTCAGTTTGTGGCAAGTGGTGGCAAACAAAAGGTGAAAGCCAGAGCGGGCCATTCTGACAGAGCACAGGAAGCACGCCCGACAAAGAGAGCAGAGCAGGGCCAGAAGCCCCGACCCCAGTCCCAGAACACACTCCCTCTGGCATGTCACGGGCTCCCTCAAAGGCCTTTTCAGCAGCAGTAAGCATTCTGGGTGGAAGACTCCAGAATGAGGGGGCACAAGAAAAGACCTACACATCGCTTAAGAAAGAGGAGACTCTGCAAATTCGGGTCCCTAAAAAGCATCCTATAATGTCGTCTTTTTTTCCGCTCTGTCTTACCTGAAGCATCCCAAAGCCATCGTCTTCAATGGTCCCTTCACAGGTAATGTGCAACTTTGTAAGCAGAGTCTGAGAGCTGAAACACACAGGTCACACTGCGGTTAGAAACCCGGACGTAGCCGATCAATCTTTGCTCACCTCCACACAACCATGTGCTTTAACATCATTCAACACTTTTCTGTATTTTTACGATAAAGAAAATGCAAGACCTTCTCCAATTTGGTGGTTTGTCCAACCTCTTCCGGGTGAATGTTACAAGTCCAGTAGGCGCTGGGGACAAAGAAATAAGTGTAAATGTCTTTTCTTTGTCTCGTACGTAAAAATTAAAATAACTGTTACATTTTACTTTAATAATAACCACCTACTTTGCTCAGTAACACTTCTGAAATAGCACAACAGAGTTTTCAGTTTTTCAATCTTCCTTGTAGAGGAGCCCTCAAACAGCCTGAGGATACAAGAAATAATGGATTGATTGTTGATATACACTGTGACATAAAACCAGTGCACTTTACATGCAGTTTGCATGTAAAGCTCAACCTAATACCAACTCCAAGACCAGCAAAAAATTTCTCCCCGCATAACCAGTGCTGTGGAGACACATGACCTCCATTTTCGCCACGTGAGATCAGCCATGCTTAAACTTTTGACAGGAATTAGTACATCTCTCACTCAGCTTCCTTTTTAGTCACTAGCCGATTATGTAGGAGCTCCCTCGCCATTACATCGACGAAGTTGCCCCAGGCTGGCCATCACAAAACGACACTCATGCCATTTCACAGCACTCATACAAAAAGAAAGAGAGAGGGAAAGAGGGATCCCTCTCTGGGGATACATTAAGAAGCCCTGTGTCCCTTTGCAAAAGTGTCCTCAAGAGGCAAAAGGTTGTAACACACATACTCGCATACAAAGCTGCCGCCAGATTAACGTAGTGGATAGATTTGAATGCACTTCAAGCATTAAGTCCACCATCTCCCTCGAAAGGTAACTTTACAAAGAGCCCCGCAGCCCACGAAACATGCCACAATAAAAAAAAAGGGAAGGAAAATTTCATGGGAAGAAATCCTGACAAAAGCCAGGCGCGCTGAGAGCCCTTCAGGGCTGAGAAAGTCATTCATTCAACTCCAGCTTCCATTTCTCTTTCCTTGTTAGAATAGACCCTTGAAGCGATCGTTCCTCTTGCAGTCTGCAGGGAAAATGTGTTTGACCTAAGCTAGCTACGAGCAAGAGCCAGCATTTGGTAACAAAATGCAACACAGTCTTTGGAGATAGCATTAATATGAGAAAATATATAGCATGAGCACGACGCTTGCTGCTGTGCAATAAAACAATAGACAGAAGTGACAACTTTAATATTTGTCCATCACACCTGGGCTTTAGTGCCATTCGCACAAGATATCTAAAGATTAACCACTTAGTATTTTGATTGTACTTATTGGGTGAATTAGTGGAGAAAAGAGAACGATAACACTGACTTTTAATTCAAATTATAACAAAAACTCAAATTTAATTTAGTTGCGATTGTAATCCCTTCGAGTCTTAAAAATAGCCAGTGGCCTTCTCTATTGTCAAAAGCAGCCATCTAAGTCAATGTTAATTTGATTTACGTTTCCATTTAAGTAATTACAGTGGGATGCCATCAAATAAGGGAGACATAAGTGAGCAGAGATCTACATGCAGATTTGCCATAGCACCATCCTCACTGATAAGATCTTTAGTGAAAGTTTCCAGAGATCGAAAAAAACTGGTTTGTTAAATCTATCGGCATACAACATAAAGAAACTCCCAGGTACTAAAACAGATAATGAAGAAATGGAGTCCTGGAACAAAGCACCAGATAATAAAAAAACACATCAACCAAATAAAATATTTCTTCTTTCTTGTCCCAGCAGCAGATTAAAATGAGGGACTTCGTGACGATGTAACTAGATGTCGCAGAAGAACATAGCATGACCATCTAATGGGTCTTCTTTCTACTCAAAGTCCCACATGCACGTGTTACCTGAAAAAGTTTATGTCTGGGTAGTTTGAGTACTCCGCCTTTCTAGAGCTCCGTCGAGGGAAGGTACAGAAGAAGGCGTTGGCGAGCAGGCATGCCACCTGTTCCTGAGACATGGTGATGGAGTGGTTCATGCCTGCTTTCAGGAGGGGTATCGGCTGGAGGAGAAACAGTGCGCAACAGTAGAAGGTCAGACGTATTTGCAATGATTTGGAACCACTCTGTGCTACTTTACTCTACAATTCTAATAATAATCAGGATACTTTCAATCATCTGATGCCAATATAGACCATTAAATTAAGAATGAACAACATAATAATCAATAAACTATAATGTAATTAAAATGTAAACGCATGTCATATAAAAGCAGGGATCTAACAGCAAACATTTCTGACAAAAGTTTAATAAACAAATCACTTGAAATTTTTAGGATGTGAGTATTTGAGTTCTTAGTGAATTTGTAAAAGGAAAAATAAAAAACACAAATAAAACAACACAACATGTGTCAGAACTTTCTGGATATTTTGTGCATTTGTGTGGGTCAGTGTGAGTGTCAAATTAATCAAGCTCTAAATCAAATTTTAATTGAAAGTCAAATAAGAATTGTATGATCCGAATTAATACACAGAAACATTTCAATAGACCTGTTTCTAAAATGCAAACATAAATGTCAGCATATTATCAACCATCTAAACAACCAGATGAACAAAAGGTTGTTTGATTGTTTCACAATTTGCCCAAATTTTCATTTAAATTCACAAGATTGTTTGTCATGTCATGACCTTCGGGGCCAGCCTGAAATAGTGATCCACTGTGTCATGCATCGGGATGTGTGTGTCCATTGCTCAGTTATTGGTGTTACCTTGGTGCAGAGCTCAGATGCTCTCAGTGCTAATTGCACCATGTCTGGCAGCAGGGAGTCAAACAGATGTTCAGCAGCATCAGGTTCTAAGACCTTGGAGAGAGCAACAGATTTGTTTATGTTTGTTGTTTTGCCACAAAATTCGGCTGCCACATCATTAGCTGTCTGGGCTGATTAGTTTTAGACACATAAATCTAATCAGACTGTTGAAATCCTGCACAGTGTCCTTGTTATGGGGTAACAAGCATAGAACATCACGGGGAGATTAAACCTGTAAAAATATGTCTGGATACGTAAACAAGAGGAAAAATATGATTATCTGCCTAGTTGAAAGCTTGCTGAATTATTAAAACAGAGGTGTAGTTTGGTTAATTTAAAGTTATAGCACCAGAACCAAATAATAAAGTGGCAAATGAACCATCTATGTTTTTTTTCTATTGTCAACAAACATTATGTAGTGCTCGTATATCCCACCACTGTGACTACGAAATGCTAGAGCGATCAATCACAAAGCTGTTTCGACAAGGTTGTACAGCCATGCCAGCTGATTAAACAGCCTTCCTGGAAGAGATGCAAATGACCAAGGGTTTGAAATAAAAAGGACACTGTTAACCCAGGACATGGAGCCTTGGCTGGAGATTTAGCCTTGGACATTTGTATTATGTCAAAGGAAGCCTGACTAAACACAGTCATAAGTAATGACCTGGCTAACATCATAAAGTGCTCCTATGAGTCTAATAAATGAAGCCAACTGACAGGGGGAAACAGCATAAAGCTGAGGTGATATAAGCCAAGCTCTTTAAATCAGCTGAAGACAGAGCATCAAATCAGCTGAGCTAACTGTCTGTATGACTGGATATGGGTCTGTACATCACACGCGACTGACAAAGCAATCAAGCTAGATGTATGATTAGGAAAGGTAGGGTAGGAAAACCAGTAGTACGGATCCCAGACAGAGTAGCTGCAGACCTGGCTGAACCAACACTAGTTACCTTTAACACACTCACACTCCTGAATGCATTTCATAAAATAATAAGGCGCTCTGTGTAAGTATTTGAACGTGTGATGACAGAAAAATTTCATTTTAGTGGTCTCGACTGGAAAAACAGAACCGGTTGTGCAGCTGAGGAAAAAATTAACAAACTGACACTGCCAGTCAACAAATGTTCTGTTATTCATAAGGAATATGTGCCGATATGAATATTCAATGAAGGTTACTGGGCTGTCACTCCATGCTATTCAGGGTTACTTTTCTCTGACAGTCAGAATCGCTCTCCTGCAGTCTGACGTGGTAACTGGGAAGAAAAAACGTACCCAAAGAAGGAGCACTTTTTGCTTTTCATAAAACTTTCCTAGATTTAAGTAATTTTTGTTATCTGAATCATTTAGATTTTTTTGACCAATTGAAAAAATGTCTTTGCTGTGTTTGATATGGTTCAAAGTTGTTTTTACTTTGAAGCTTTGTGAGGCACTTCATAACATCCAGGAAGAGTGATCATTTTCTTACTAATTACACTATAGTATACATAGCACTACAATCTATTCAATATTAAAATGATTTCCTAAAGGATTTCAAATAATCTACGCCTGGTGGCTTCCCATCCTTTGGGGCATTTGGACAGATTTGTAATGCAGGAAAAACTGATTAAACTCTGTGAGCTGCAGAATCCATAAATATCTTTGAAGGTAGTGCTTGTTAATGGCAGCTCTGCAGTAATAAAGAGCAAAGATAAAGCAACCGTCCTTTAATTTGGCCAAAAAACAATCATATTAACATTCTTTTAAAACACTGCATGATCAACGTCTTAAACTGAGAACCTATAATAAACAATGGCTACAATATTGCTAAATCTAATTTTGTCCTTTTTGTAGGTAAATATGTCCTATTCCCAGTCCTGTAACAATAAAACTTTGCCTGTGGCCAGAGCCTGTCACAGTGCCTCATTTCTATCCCACAGTTCCTTTAACAACATAATTTGAGATGTGTGGTGCATTGAACTCACAGCTGATTTGACCATACCAGGTTAGATAAAAATATTTTCAAGGATTTAATGTTAGCTTTTTTTCATTTATGACAAGTGGGTAAACGTGACCTTTTGTTTAAAGACTCAATTATTTCTCTAAATGTCCATCTTTCCTTTTAAAGGCCATTACCGTTCTTCGGTACAACAAGCCTATGGAATGCAAAATAATAGATTTGTATACACTTTTCCATGTGGAATGTGAGTACTGTTCAACATGTAGCTGAGTGCTTTAAAAACACCAGATGAAATTCTGATATCACTCCCGTCATTGCCCTGTGACGGGAGCAATATAAGATGGAATATTCCTGCCCCTTTAACGGTCCAGACATTGGTCCCAGTCTGAAACGCCAAACAGGATGACGCAGAGTGCATTAAGACAACAGATGATGGATGGACTTGCGAAGACACTGGTGAGTCTGAGCGAGAATGACCAAATCAGCAATGTACGGGGCCATTTCATGAAACTGTGGCTTATTTTGGTCTAGGGCTTGAAGGAAAAGCAGTACAACATACAGAAATAACATGTATATGAACCAGTGCATGTACAAATGAACATTTAAAAATTGTGTATTATCTATCTACTGAATATGAAAAAAACAACTCATGCTTGCAGAAAAAGCAACACCAGGCCTTACTGCAAAACAGCATAAAAAGGTATGTGGCCCCTGTTGACTTACACTGCATTGACTTATTTTAGTTAAAGAAGGATAAAAGAATCTGTTCTCAAACAGTCATAGTTTTCCTGAATCAAGAACAGTCAGAGCACATCCTAGGCAAAAGTCTATGCTTTCATTGAATGTGGTCCAGACCAAACTCCAAATAAATATAACTTTACCTGAACTCAAATTCTTCCGGAATTTAAACAGACAGAGCTTTAAAAGAGTTGTTGCAAATAATTGACTAATCAGTGAGATTAATGCCAAAAGCATCCTGTTTGGTAATTAAGCACCATTACTCCTGCAAAATTGATGATCTGATGGCTGTAATAACTGATTGTCAAATTTGTAGGAAATTTCTGGATAAAAGCAAAATGTATTAACTGCATATGAAATAAGTGCAACTTAATAATCTGCTATTACTTATATAAATATATAATTTTTACCTTAGTGCAGAACGTATTCAGTGCCGTGAAGTCCCACTTTTTAGCATGTGAAGCACTATATTTCAATATTGCCTTCTGCAACAGAAAAACAGATGTTTACAACTGTGAAGGGAAAATGGAAATGTTACTTTATTTTTATTTCACAGTTGCAAGATCTTTGTATAAAATAATGCAAAGCTGTACAAATTTACAGTCTGAAGCCTTTTCAGTTTGTGGACATGTGATGCCACCTTATGGCATAGTTTAGTAACAACAACTCAAGTGTTTAAGTTGCTTTCAGTTATTCCTACGTTATTATGTATCATTATCATTGATTACTTATGAAAAAATTCTTGTCATACGTATGTCTTAAGTATTTAGATTTGTGATATATACTTGCCTTCAACTCAACTGCATTTGTAAAATTCTTGTTTAAAGTTTCCTTGATTAGTTCCCATCGACTCTGCAGCGTTTGGGTTTCCTGTAGAAGCATAGAATTGGGTTAGGCCTCTGTTCAGCTGTATATCATTTTAATTGGTTACATCTTTTAATATGTTTTTATGTAGTTTTTTTACATGATTAATTAACACTACATGAATTAAGAATTGGCATTTCAAATGCAGGTCTCACCTCATCTACTAAGGGAAATCTGTTGTTGTTGGAGTAGGGCATCTTCACATGGACGTCATCCCAGGTATCCCTAAACTTTACAGGATATGGGACAGGAACTTTACCCCTCTGAAGAAGGTCTGTCTGTAGATATTCACACAAAACAGATGAGTTGTCAGTAAAATGTGTTACCAGTCAAGTTAAAGTCAATGTTCACACATAATGAAAAAAAAATTAATGTATATATATACACAAATACATATTTATAAACATACATATTTTTTCAATTAATTTAAATAAACTAAATTAATATTACTTCTGATTGTAAAATTTGAAGTTGTGATTGGATAAGACACTCACACACATCTGTACTGTAATTAGTAAAAGAAAAAAAGAGTTCCAACCCTTATCAACACAGTATGTTTCCCAGGTGCATCCTTCAGAGGTGGAAGAGGCCCACCACATTCTGGCATTCTCTTTAGCTCGTTGATTGGCGTCCCCAGCCATGTGACGCCAGCTGATTTAGGTTCTTTGTCATCATCTTGCTCCTCTGAAGACTTATCAGGGATGCCCCGTCTTACAGGTAAATTCTGAGAAGTCCCTGAAAAGAAGTCTGTTATTTTGCTGTTGTGTTTGGAAGGTCCCTTGGAGTCCGTGAAGCATCTTCCCATTTCTTGCTTTTCAAATCCATCTTCAGTGTGAGAGAGTGGCTGTGTAAGCCCATTCCCTGCAGAATCATTGGACACTTGTGACACAGGACAGTTTTCATCCAAGCTTTGTGGGGTTAATGGTTGGGTTTCTTCATCTGTGTCAGAGACGGAAGATTTTTTATCATCTCTGCAACCTAAAGACTGAGCTGAGGTGCTTTGAAAGCCATCATCATCAGTCATTTCTTCATCTTTGTGGCTTTGGCACTCATTTGTTGTGATTTGGCTTTTTGAGGGCTTGACCAACCAACATTCAAGAGTGTTTCTGCACTGTTGCTTCTTGGGGTCAGTCCTTTCAATGGAACTTTTTGTCTTCATGCCTCGCAAACCAGCTGTTCCAGTGTTTGGCTGTCTATCCACATTTTTTTCTGTTTTATTTTCCATTCCTTCTTGAAGTTTGGCCCAGTATCCATGTTGTGGTTACATAAAGAAAGAGCACAAGGACAAACATATACATAAATATTTTTTTAACTTGCTATAAATTCTGCTACTGTAATATTAATATGATCAAGTCAAGTACCTTTATGGGAATACAAAGGGGATCCTAGAATATTTGTTCCAACTCTTTGTCTCTTTGCTGATGGCTCAAAGTCTGCCAATGAAGTCATTCTACAAAACAGGCAGCAAATAAGACCTGTCGAAATACTATGACTGAGAAATAATACATGAAATGATAAACAATAAGAGTTCACTCACAACACAGCTTGAGCAGACACGAGAAACAACGTGGCCCCTGGGTTTGTCCAGCCTCGGTTCGCTGATCCTTTTTTCAGTAGTGTAGCAAATTTTATACTGAATGAAGCCATACATGAGAGTCTATCTCAAGAGCATACACAATAGCTCTTCAGTTAATAATGTCCACGAGTAGAAGCTCGCAAAAATAATAATACAGGGAAAACGTACTTTATATTCCTTCCTATTCAGCCTTAAATCATTGAAAAAACTAAACGTTTTAGATACTAAGCAATAACTCAGTCAGTCAGAGCTTACTGTTAAATGCTAACTAGCTATATACTACATCTGGCTGGAAAAACTAAATAACAACCAAAGAAACATTCAGGTGACAGAAGTTAGGCATTTAACCAGATATAGTATACACTGGCATCTGACACATGATTATTAGAAACACGCTAGTGTACCAGTTGATGTAAAATACACATTCGCTCATCTGCTAAAGTTTACCAACTACGTTCACATGTCACTTCCGCACTTGTACGTGACGTCATTGTGCATGAAATAACGCGATAACCCCAACCCCGTCTTAGATTAAATTTTAGAATATTGAACAGTCACCCATGTCAACACGTTCAATTAAAGTTGACCAAACATAAACATAAAGTTGTTGTTTTTTTACTTTTCTTTTCACCCCATACACAGCTTGGCCATAGATTGAGAAGGCAGCTACTTGTGGTGCTACAACAGTAATTTCCAATCATAAAATCATACATCATTGCTTGACAACTTAATGTTTTCTCAGTGATCCATTGTTTGTATTTCCAAAAGGTAGCGCACCTTTCGTGGCCACTCCCACAACCACACCTGACTGGGGGAGAAGACTTGAAGCAGAAAGTGATAGAGGCTCTTTGTAGGAGCCTTCAGGTCAAACAATCGAGACGATTTGTATTTAATCGAGAATCATGATCTGTAACTACGTGTCTCTCTCGGTGCTCCTGCTGTGCTGTATTTCTGTCATTGAAAACATAGGTGAGATACACCAAAGTTTGGCGATGATGTGATCCTTTTTTGTGTCGGAAAGGCGTTTGACTGTTTTTCATTGCTCGGGCTAGCAACGATTCTTTACGTGTAATTTTCTTTGTTCATTTGCTACTTCAGCAATCACTTGTCCTCCATTTGTTGATCTTTTTCACTTTAACTTCATAGGAGGCTTTTTTATATACGCATTCAAATCTTGTCTAATTCGTCTGGTAACTGGATTAGTTGTTTGCGTTTGGATAATGATGGAGTTGGCATTACTTTATCAAATATGAACTTCCCAGTTTTAACTATGTGTGTGTTGACATTTTTGGCAGAAAATGTAAATGATTTTACATCAAGACTGCCCAGGTACTCTATTGTAAAACCCCAGGTGATTCACAGGTGGGAGAGGGGTATCAACAGACCACCCCGGTCAGATGAGGTTTGAACCGATCATGTTGTTTCTCACAATTAAACTAAGAATTATTAAACACTCTAAGGGTTTAAGGATGCTGTATCTTCTCCACATCTATAGGCATATGGTGATGAGATACTATGGTATGCAGTGAACATCAACAACAGGAGGCTACTTTTGCGTCTAAAAAAGAACAGGTAAATAAGTCGCTGCATGACACTTAAGATATTGTAATATATTCTTTACTCTTATATCACATATTGTTCTTTACAGAGACTTTGTACATCCACATTTAGTTCAACACTCGCGTGAGTCCTCTGGTATCAACAACTCGTTGTATCCTCCAAAGCTTGTAAGTTAGAGATTGCTCAGTTAGGCTGGTTAAAACTTTAAACCTTCATTTAGTTTCTTTCAAATTATTTATTTTCAGGTGCATTGCTATTACCATGGAGAAGTGGATGGATATGAGGATTCAGTGGTGGCGCTTAGCACATGCTCTGGACTCAGGTTTGAATTTTGAGCTTTTTCTTGTTGAACATCACACATCTAAACATTTAATCTACATCTGTGCATCTATTGTGCACCACTTTTCCACAGGGGTGTGATCGTCTTTGCAAATGAGTCGTTTGGACTCGAACCTGTGCCCCAGTCTACCACTAACGAGCACGCCCTGTACCTCCTGAAAGACGCCCGGTCAGAGCCCGTCACCTGTGGGGTCGCTGGTGAGGCTGCATCAGCAGAAAGCCACGAGCCCTTCGAACCGGGCCAATCCCTGACGTCTCTGCTGAGGGTGAGGATGCTTACTGTGTTTACTGAACGTCTAAGAAAATCCAAACAGGGATTTAAACGGAGACTGGATGCAGTTTCTAACAGGCAGGCTTTCCTTCTTTATATTTTTCTATTCCAACAGATGAAGCGCAACTTGCCTCAAACTAGCTATGTGGAGTTGGTGCTGGTTGTTGACAATCTGAGGGTGAGTGCCTGTAAATGGATTATCTGGTGAAAAAACTGTTATCGCTTAAAGACGTGAGCTTATCTTCTTTTAAATTAAGTACAAAAACTTTTGCTTTGCTCCGTCACATATCTAATCTATTCAGGTAGCTCAAAAGGAAAGTGTTATTTTTTCCCTCTGTTATGCCTTTGATTGGATATAATAACATGTTGAACAGGAAATCAAAAAATAGATCATTAGATAAATAATAGATAATGCATAATTTCCCAAGATAACTCCTAATATCATTGTGCTTTTATTGCATATTATTATAGTAGATTCTTGTAATTTGGCAAACATAGTCTTAATGTACTAAATATTCTCTTTTTAACTGAGTGCATTTTCTTTACAGTATAAGTTTAAGAAAGAAAATGAGACCGCAGTCCGGGAGGAGATGGTGGAGATGGCAAATCTGCTGGATGGGGTGAGATTTGAAGTTATTCAGACCTGAATATAGGCTTTATTTTAAGCACATTGTTACACCTGAGTGGAGTGGAATTTGTTATCATTTTTAATGGTGGGCAGAACAAACCCAGCTTTTATGATTGTTGTTCTAAATCTTTTACTGTTTTCTGTTGTGTTCTAGTATTACAAACGGCTGAACATCCGTGTTGTGCTGGTTGGATTAAAGATTTTTAAGGATAGTAATCCCTTCAGTGTGGACGGCTCCGCAGGAGAGGTTTTGGATCGTTTTGTTAGGTGGAGAAAGAGCAGTTTGTTACCCGAAATCAGGCATGATATTGGTCAGCTCATTGTGTAAGTAATGAGTACCCCTTGTCACTTATTAGCATGTATGTTTGATCAAAACAGTTTGATGTGAGACTGAATGTAAAGGGATGTTTTATGATTTGTTTGCTAGCGGACAGCCTAAAGCGTATGGAAGTGTACTGGGAATGGCCTTCGTCGGCACAGTCTGCTCCGTAGCAACTTCTGGAGGAATCAATGTGGTGAGTCCGGCTTTTATTTTTAACTTCTGAGCCTCACAAGCTGACGCCATGATGTTTTGGGAGCATGAAAGTGATACTGTGTGCATTATTCATGGGAGGTTCAATGCAGGCCATTGTCTCGGGTTCTTGAAGGTTGGTTTGTCAAACAGGTTAGACTCAAATACCGTGTTACCTACCTCCATGACAAAGCTTCTTTAGTTGGACGTTTGCATTCTTGAAATGTTTTTAAACTAATATCTTAGAAGATAGAAATGTACCTTGATATTAGACAGTATTCCAAAGTAATCTTCTAATTACAATAGCTGTGGACAGAAAATGTGGTATAATTTTTGTTGACATCATAATTTGAAAATATTTTCTATTTAAATTTAGACACTTTTCTGTTTTTAAGCAGCTTATGTGTTGTCTTACAGGTAGTTTCACTCTCAATGCTTTCTCCTCTGCCTAAACGTGGACAAAGATTTGTGTGCAGTTACATGACATGAATATAGCATTTGTGTTTTTTTAATTGTTTTTACAGTACAGTGACAACAGCTTGCCTTATATCTCTGCCGTGGTGGCCCACGAGATGGGCCATAACTTGGGTATGAATCACGACGATACACGTTGCGACTGTGAGGAGAAGGGCTGCATCATGTCTGCAAGTGCCAAGTAAAAATCCTCAGATTATGGATTTATAGTTTTACAATTAACTACAACCCTATTTTGAAAAAGTGTCAAATTAAAATTAAAACTACTCTACTTATGTTGTGAAAAGTTGCGAAAATGACCGTAAGAATTAGGTGACATATTAAAAGAGAACCTTAGAGAGTGAAATTCCACCAGGAAAGATGGGCAGAAATTTCACAAATTTTAAACTGATTATCATTATTCTGAAATTGTTTTAATCTCATCTGTTTGTGTTTACCTTTTTGCATAATTTTTTGGAGGAATGTATCTTTTATGTTCCCAAGGTTAATTTATTCATTTATTTTTTACTTATAAATCAATTTCTTATATATGTTTAAAATAAAGTTTTTCAAAAAGAAAAATCTTAGTTAACACTGTGTACCTTATTGCTCTTTAGGGGTTCCTCCATTTTCAGCAAGTGCAGTGCAGACGACTTTGAGACGCTGGTTTTACGTGGAGGCGGGGCCTGTCTGAAAAATCAGCCGTCATTATCAGACGTGGTTGGTGTTGCTCAATGTGGCAATGGCCGCTGGGAGGATGGAGAGCAGTGTGACTGTGGCACACCGGAGGTAGAGACATTTCCACCACGAATACAAGAGCAAAGTAGAAGTGAACATTTTTTTTGCATTGTGTAAGTCATAGAAATACTCAGTCAGAAATTCTTATTCTCAGCTACTTTTATTCAAATAGAAAAGCATACCACGAATCAGCTGCTGTGACACATTTTAAGTTTGTATACAACCTTATAAGGTTTCAGAAGTGACTTTTTTTTCATTAGTTTCTGTTTTGATAACAGTAATAAGACCTTTTCTCCCTTTAATTCCACCCAGGAATGCAAGAATGACTGTTGTGATGCTGCCACTTGTAAATTTACTCGAGGGTCCTCTTGTGCTCATGGCGAATGCTGTGACAAGTGCCAGGTCAGAAATATGTTGAACTTAATCTGTTTGTCTAAACAAAGAAGATGCAATAAGATGTACTACAGAAAATATTGGCAAATTTGCAAGTTGGATTATTTGCCGTTTTTTTGTTTGTTTTAGATCAGAGTTGCTGGAACCCCATGCAGATCATCTACTGACACCTGCGATCTTCCTGAATTTTGCAATGGCAAAAGTGCATTTTGTCCTGATAACTTCTTTGTCATGGACGGCCTTCCATGTCAAAACAACGCTGCATACTGCTATGAAGGCCGCTGCCAGACATATGATTACCAGTGCAAACACCTGTTTGCTCCAGGTCAATTATCATCAATTTAGAATAATAAGAAAATATAATTTGTTTAGAATAGTAAGCTAAATGAGAGCAATACCCCTAGAATGAGTCATAAAGGTACAATAGAAGTAAACTATTTTCCTGTGGCTCTTTTCTACAGTTTTGCTTTAATTTTGTTGTGTGAAACCCAAGGTCTTTTTTTTCTTGGTTTACTGTGGTTTTGAGATGTTACATTATCCCCATTATCTTTTCTGGAGAGTGTGCTGCTTTTTCTTTTATTTCAAAGTGGAAAAAAGGGAAGAAAAAAAAAATATATATGTGTGTGTGCATATATATATAAAGATCATTTTAGCATCTCATGCAATCCCTTTTATTTACCACTGATCAAACTTTTTAAGAATTATATTAACTTATAATGATGTGGTTGACCAGTCAGACTACCCTTATCTGTCTGTAAAATGTTTAACTTAAGGCTAAAAATTGTCTAGAATCTGCTAAACCTGTCAAGATATCGACCGAGTTCTATTGTCATTAATCATTTATGTTGAATGTCACTCTTCCGTCTGGCTCCTGCAGATGCTGCAATCAAGGCGGCAGATATTTGTTTCCAACATGCTAACACAAAGGGGGATTTATTCGGAAACTGTGGAATCACCAGCAGTGGAAACTACATCAAATGTACCGTGGCGTAAGTTATCCAATTTATCTTTAATTTTTCTTTGCAATTAATGTGAGTGACAAAAATATACGCATGCCACCGATGTTTAATAGGAGGGCATTCACATGTTTTTCAACCAATGAAACACCATAGAATTGTTTTACTGAGTCTGATCGCTGCAAGTGCGAGGTCACGCCAACTCGAAATGAATGTGGGAACTGGATGTTTTGCAGAAACTCTATGTGTGGAAAGTTGCAATGCAGTAACGTGGATGTAAATAACCCTCCTCTTGGAGCCCAAGTCAGTATCCAGGAAATTCAGGGGTCACGCTGCATCAATGCAAACTTCAACCTGGGCACAGATGTGCTCGATCCTGCGTACGTCAACCCTGGCAGCCCATGTGATAAAGGAAAGGTGAGCCCATTCTCCTGTGGAAGCTATTTTATGGAGTTTCACTGCCAAAAAGAAAAATTCGAAGGTGGAATGGGTGAGTCATTTGACTAAATCGATAAGTGTCGTGATCTCCTGCAGACTTGCCTGAACTTTCAGTGTGTGAATGCTTCTGCTCTATTACCAAACCTGGACTGTGATGGCCAAACCACCTGCAATGGCCGAGGGGTAAGAATTTTCATTTGCATCCTCAAGCCATTTCGAAGTTAGTAAGCACAAGTCTGAATATTCAGGTGTGTCTTCTGCAGGTATGTAATGATCAAGGGCACTGCCACTGTGACAGTGGTTGGGCGCCTCCCTACTGTGACAAATCAGGACAAGGCGGCAGCATTGACAGTGGTCCTACTCAGATAGGTATGTTTAACCACGCTGGCACTGAAAGTTGCAAAACCAGTTTCTCTTTAGTTCCTGTCAATCAAGATTAAATGCTAAAGAGAAGTGCTTTACGGTCAGGATTTTTTTTTTTTTTGACTTTAGGAGAATAGTAATCAAGTATAAAACTGTAAGACTTAAATTGACTATATCAAGAGATCATCATTTCATATAATCTAAATTATTTGAATTACATATTGACATCAGTCCCTTTGCATCCTCAGATTATTCCCTCAGAAATGGCCTATTGATCTTCTTCCTGTTGGTACTCCCTCTGCTCGTGCTGCTTGTTCTGGTGCTGCTCTACATCTTTAAGAGAGATTCCTTGGACATCTGTCTAAAACGAAACCTTAAGTAATCATTTACCTCATTTGATATGTGCTGATGATTTATAAAGGCTGTTTTGCGTGCTAATATATTACATGTGGTTTTCCTCCGTTTTCAGATCACAGAGTGCTAGAAACGGAAATCCACAGGCTAACGGCAATGTTCAAACAAGTACTACAGTCCACCCTCCAGCACAAGTCCCACCTGAGAGGGTAAAAATGTTTTCCTGATAATCACCACAGCATGGAAAGCAGTGTGGTGTTTGCTTTGCTCTAAGAAATTGTCCTCAAATAACATAAAAAAGTAATGATAAATGGATTAAAAGAGATGTTACATTTAATTGTTCTTACCATGTGATGTTTTATTGTTTTTTCTGTTTTTTTTTATTCTAGCCTCCTCCACCCTCTACATTGGCTCCAATTTCTGGGTATGAGTTAATAATTTCTTGTTTTGTTTAGTTTTTTACTGTCCTCCTAAAACTGTGTAAATGCTTATTTAAAAAATGTGCTTTTATCTTGTAAGTTTCAGGTATGGAGAAATGGATTATTGGAATTTAGAGACAACCACTGCTCCTTCAAAACCTGTTCCTGTACAAGGTCCGGGAGTTCCCAAACCCATCCCAGGAAAACAGCTGCCAAGTTGATTCCCCTTTTACATGATGCATTTTCAGATATTATGAATGTATTCATATATTTCTAAAATACTGTGATACAGTAACTAGACACTTATAACCACCTGAAAGTGGACTGTGGTGGTGGATCTGGCTGTTCATTTTTTATCATCGTACGGCATATATGTTTTTAGTATTGTTGGATATACATGAAATGCACATTAATTATTATAAAAAGAAGAAAAAATGTTTGTGTTTTTATGAAGGTTTTTTTCCCCAAATATATTTGAAAAGTTGTTCACTGTGATTTCTGGTGTGTGTCATGATAATGTTTTAAAAGAAGTCAATAAAGTTTGATGTTGGTTTAAATCTTTTTTCACTTCTAATGTTTTAAAACACACAGAACCTGCAAAGGAATTACAGTGATTTTTGCTTTTCAAACATTGTGGTCTGCGAAGGGCCATTGAATTTGGAGAACGTGAAATATTTCAGCAGACTTTCTTTTTTTGTGTGTGTGTGGGATAGTTTATGCATTTGCAAATACATAACTGCCTTCTTGAAGAGTGCTCTTAATCACTTGTATCTACTTTTAGATCATTTTTTTAATGATTTTGGTTTGACTGAAAATCTAAAGATGCATTGCACTGTGTGTAATGGAAGAAAGCGAAGTCAACGAAAACATCCTTTACAGGAAATTTGTGTTGAATTATATTTTTGTGACGAGTTGAAGCCAGTTCACACACTTGTACCATTTGCTTAACCGTGCAGAGTGAAAACCATCAGCTGTGTTTATCCAACTATTAACTCTGTAACAGTGGCCTTTTATTTTGAAAGGACAGCGCTGGAAGCGGAAACACGTATTTGTTGTTGACGTTTCGACGCGGAAGTTTGCTGCTGAGTATGACAGAGAGGTAGCACGGCGTAAAGAGGCCAGTGCCTTGGCTCTGCTGTCCGGTAAGACATGGCGGCAGTGGACACCGGGAGTAGCAGCAGGGCTCCGGCCTGCCTGTGCGTCCTCTGCGGGCTGCCTGCGGCCGGGAAGTCCACCCTGGCCCGGAGGGTCCTGGAGGCCTCCGCGGAGTACGGCTGGAGAGCAACGGTAGTGCCCTACGACGACCTGATCCCCGGGGCTGCTTTTCGGACCACAGAGGGGGAACATGGTTTAGAACAGCACACGGTGAGAGCTGAAACGTCTTGTTTCTCCTCGCTTGAAGAAATGGGGGTGATAACTGAGCATCTTAGTCACTTATGATGGATTGGAAACTGCCAATTTGTCCTTCTCCTCCTTTACCTTTCTGCTATATGGACATATTAAATAAAGGCACCACTGATTCGCAGCATGCATGAAGTAAAAATCTTGTTCAAGAAACGTGTAGTTTGTAAACAATTTCCACCTGTTTCCTTTTCTTTGTAGCATACAGAATGGAGGTCTCACAGACGAGCAGTGCTGCAGTGCCTGGACCAGATCCTGCAGAGACCTGAAGGGTTTGCAGAGTTTCCCGGCAGCCCTTTCATCAGCAAAGACACATGGGAACGGTGCCTGCAAACCCTGCTGAATCCAGAAGGTTCGATGCCCGACGGGACCCCGCTGCTCTTTCTGCTAGATGACAACTTCTACTATCCCAGCATGAGATATGAGGTTTTTCAGCTCGCCAGAAAGCGTAAGATCTCCGTCACCCATCTCTGGAGTCGGTGATGTGGTTTTGAAATGCAGCTTTTAAAGTCGTGGATGGTCGTTGCAGATTCGCTGGGTTTCTGCCAGGTGTCTCTGCAGTGCGATTTGGAGTCGTGCATTAGCAGAAACCAAAAAAGGGCTCGGCCCGTTCCCGATGAGGTGATAACGGACATGACGAAACGTCTGGAACCTCCAAACCCGCAGAAGAACACGTGGGAGATGCAAAGCATCACACTCAACACCCAGGACGGCGTTTCCAAATGTGACCTGTAAGATCCCTGAGAAACGGTTTCAAACACCCATGACTCGAATCAAAACTTGACAAACTTACCTCTGTCTGTGGTTTATTCCTAGCCAGAGAGTGATGGAGTTGATCTCTTTGGCTCTCGGCAACCCGCTAAACCCATTGGAAGATGACACTGAACAAAAGGTGATGCTCAAACACGCGATAATGGACTTGGAAAGGTCCCGCTGCAAGTTGTGGATCACCCCTGGTGCTTTTGTCTTGTTGCAGGAAGCTGATCGTATAAAGTGTGCTACCAGTGTGGTCCATCAGGCTGACCAGGCCTGTCGACGCCTGATAACTGAAGCCATGAAGTCAGCCAGAGGTTGGTCGTCAGCTTCATTCATTTGTTATTTAATATTTTGTCACATAGCACCCGGTGTAATTATGTCTTTTCCAATTTCTGCGTTAGAAAATCAAGTCCCCTCTGAGCAGATGAGGTCTTTGGCTGCTGAGCTGAATGAGTCCAAAGTGACGTTTCTCAACAACCTGCGGAGACAGGTCCTTCAGGAGGCGCCTTTCCTTTCAGAGGAGGACATCGATGTGGAGCATGTGGTGAAAAGAGCCGTTTGGGTTTTTGATGACGGCAAGAACGAAATCCTAACACGATTTATAAAGAGGACTTAACAATTTGAATCACTTTAAATGTTTTTTAAATCAGTAATATATTGCACTATTTGTGTTTTTTACCAATGAAAACATTTTGTTGGAAAAATCATTTTTATCAAAATTCATCTAAAACATCTTCATGTGTTTTGCTGATATGAAACAATGTGAAGGAAAACCGTTCATCCAAATGCTCCGTTTACAATCACATGACCAAGTCCAGACAGATTAAGTTCAAATGAAAAAAGAAAAGCTGCTGGCATTAGTTCCCTTCACATGCAACACCACATTTCTGGAGGGGTCTCGACATGAACTTCCAAACAATAAGAGGCTACTGTGAATTCCACTTGAAAAACTTTGTATTATAAAATGAGCATTAAGACATGTTGCAAATATTGGTTAAAATGTATTTTAAGCATAGAAATCAGTACCACAAAGAGGAAGAGACTGTTGAATTACTGAGGTATAGGTAAATAGAAAAACAGCAATCAAGAATTCAGTTATTCCTTATGGAGAAAATGTGTGTCTGCTGTTATGGAGCATCTCACTGAGAAGAAAGAGTGTATTTGTAGTTTAATAGCTACATAATGTGGGCTGGAATATCAGATAGTAAATAATGTTATGGGTTTTTTACTCGCATATACCAAATGACATGAAAGTGAATTTAATTAATTAATTTAGAGAGATATAACATTATGTTGGATAGAAAGGCTGAAATCACACTGACATTCCAAACACAACTACATGCCCCAGCATCACACTCCACCCTAAAAAAGGGTAATCTGAAAGATTGCCAAACATGACAGAAGTTCTGAAAATTAAAGCTGCATGATATATATCTTTGTGAGAATGCAGAACACAGAGTAGAAATAATAAAAACAACTCAATATATTGCCCTTACTGTAAAATTTAAAAAACATATTTTTACAGTTTCATGTTGTGCTACTGGGTTATTTTATTTTAAAGTGATATTAGAAATTAGCAGCTAAGACGTCCTCTAATGAGAGGATGTCCTAACGGGGAATACGACGTGCTCTGAACTGATACCAAAATGGAAATCACGACATCCCCCACTCACACACTACTGGTGTGAAGCAGCCATAAATCTTTAAAGTTATTTAAAACCATGTGTCCAAAAAGGGTAAAAAATGCATTAAAACAATGGCTAAAATGTCTCGGGGGTCTGTGTGTTGTACTTCCATGCGCTTGCCTGGACTAGACAAACTGATTAGATCACTGGCTTTTGAGAGAAGACTGAATCTTACTGTTAAACCATAAGGTTTGAAAGAGGAAGGTATAGAGAGATTTACCTGGTTGCAATCTGCAAGTTCGTCACTAGATGTAACCAAATCCAACAGATGCCGCTTCTAAAGCTTCTTTTCTGTGACTTATAGCTACAGATTGTGTCAGTGACCAGGCACATTGATAATGACCGTTATCAGTCAGTCTAGAATATCCTCAGCCAATTGCTAAAATGGCACCATGCAAAAAGAAAATAAACCAAATATTTTTAAGGGAGCTGTCATTCACCAAACTGTAGGTTTTAGATGTCTCAGTCGCATATACTTCACAGAGAATCACGTTTTATGTTGGCCACGTGCGAAATGGCACGCAAAATCATATTTGTCGTTGCACATGTGTCCGCAGATGTTGCACTGCAGTGGCTGTTCGTAGCCATGGCAGCCCATGTGAATAGTGTACAGTATATTATCGGAGAAGGAAATGTCACAGTGCTGGCACTTGTGCAGCTGCCGCCGGTCCGGCGCGGTCAGGGGGAGGGCGGGCGTGCCCGGCCGGCTGCGGCCAGCACTGCCGTTTAAAGCGTTCCCGGTGCTCTCCAGGGCGTAGCCGGGGACGGGGCTGCAGCTCCCCTGGCCCGAGCAGAGCGACTCTTCTTTGGGAGGCGACGTCTGTACTCCGTTGGAACACACGGCCACCAGCTCAGTGGAGACGTGCTGGATGAGGATCGGTTTCTCGTCCTTTACCGACTCCCTGCCGGGGGAAACGGGGGTCTGAGACTCGGGGTGAAGGCCGGACAACTGGCCGGCAAGAGTAGAGAGCTGGTCCAGAGGGTTTTTAAATGTGAAACCATTAGCAATGCTCCCGTGGCTTTCCATCTCACCGAGCTCGGGGGTGGCCCTATACCCATTGATGTTCAGAGAGTGGATCTTTTGGGAGGAGTCATTCGCGCAATCGGACTTCGGCACCGCCACGGCCGGAGGGTTGAAATTGATGAGGAGGCGGCGGCCGAAGCCCAGCGAGCCCGTCCTCTTCTGCAGGGCGCCCAGCATCCTCTTATTGGCGAAGGGAGAGCGCACGGGCCGGGCGGGCAGCAGCTTGTGGCGGCGGCGGCGGTGGTGAGAGAGGTTGCTGCGGTCGCTGCACCTGAAGGCGCACAGGTCGCACTTGTACGGCTTCTCCCCCGTGTGGGAGCGCACGTGGGCCTCCAAGTGGCGCTCGTATGCGGACGCAAACGGACACAGCTGGCAGCGGTGGGGCTTCTCTCCTGGGCGAGAAAAGGGGGAGAAACGGCAAATCTACCAAGTCCGCTCAAACTGAGAAAAGGGTGTAAATACATTTTACACTGGCTTCACAATGGATTCATCTACATGACATTGATAAAAAATAAAAGATCCAATATATGTGACATACACAGTAGGTGACAATATGATCTAACCCAAAATTTGCATCATGAATGTGACCGATGAACCGACTTGGAGATAAAAGTGTGAACTTCCTTCAGGGTTTGAGATGCAAATGGGACTACGAACCTGTGTGGATACGTATGTGCTCCATCAGACGAGCCATGCCCTTGTTGGCATAGCTGCAGTAGCTGCACTTGTATTTTCCATCACAGGTCCTCTCCAGGCCATCCATGTGCACCTCTGACCCATCCTCTGCTGACAGGCTCACCTCCACAGAGGGGGGGTCCAGGCCGTTTTGCTCACACCTTGGGGCTACTGTAAGAAACACAGCACAGCTCCATCATATTTCTCTTTGAGTCTTTGCTGTTGGGCGTTTTGCTAAGATTCTCACCTGCTTGAAACTCCACCGCTGCCTCTTTCTCTCCACAAACAGAGCCCGAGATCATGTTAACGTGCTGGGTTTGCTGGGTCAGGTATTCTTGGAACTCCCTCACAAAATCCACAGGCTCGGTCTTTATCTCTTCCATTTTCCCCTCAGTGTCAGGGTGAAAACATCCAGATGCGAATGGTGGGCTGTGTCACTTTTCTTATTTGGGGCGTCCACGAGAGATAACTCGGTGTTAGCTAGCGTTAGCTACCGGGGCTGTTTAAAAGGCATCTGACTGGATAGTAACTGGGCATTAGCACGTGTTCCAACGTTACTTGGCTATTTCTGTCCCTCTGGCTTTGTTTAACATTATCATTCAATGCACCACATCTTACCATCGAGCGTCAAATCGACTTTAATGCAAAGGAAAATCACCCAAAGTTGATAGCATCCTACTGACAACAATTGTTACCTTGTGTTCCTCTGAAAGCCTCCGTTTTCCTTTTTCTAATACGTCAGCGTTGCCTCAAACGCATCTGATGCCTTACTGTTCTATCGGACAAAAGACAACCGATCACTCACACCCAAATGTGTTTAGGGACGCTTTAAAAGCTGTTGAGATATTTTTAGGTATGGCGTTTCCAACCCTCTGCTTAATTTCATTATTCAATTTGATCACTATAAACTACCACTTTTAAGTAAGTATAAAAAAGTGGTGCATTCTGACTCTTACAAACGGGTTGTGAAGGCAGCACCAGCCCTCTTTCATAACAAACCATGGCTTCCCCGCTGGTCAGAATATTCTCAAAGGTGAGACTGAACATTATGACCCACGACATTTATCATTTTAAGAATCTTGCATTGACGTCAACATATATTCCAACGATTGTTTTTATCTGTAAATTGTGTAAATCAGATGTATGTTGCTAACGTGACGTTGTCACCTAGCAGATGCTAATGTTTGCTAAAGAACAAACTAACTTTGTGCTGCTTATATATTTGCTCCATATATCTAGCTCTCTGTGAAACTTTAGAAAACTGTCAAACGTATCCATCTAGACATTTCCCCCTGTTTTGTTTTCAGTCCCTCCGACACATCTCTCGGCCATGGGGGTCATGCCAGTCTGGACTGAGGTGCAGGTCCACCAGATCTGCCCCAGATGTGGCTTCAGACCAGGGATCTGGAGTGGTCAGCTTCCCTCCCCTTCAGACATATTCAGAAGAGGAGAGTATGATGAGAGAAGCAGGTGAACGGCAGGAGGGATTGAATGCTGCTGCAAATGGCTGTACACAGATTTACCTTCCAAACCAAACTCCTGTCTTGTTTTCTTGACAGTGAAGAAATACGCCCAGGAGCGCATCGCCCCGTTCGTGTCAAAGATGGATGAGAGCTCCGTTATGGATGAAGAAGTGATCCAATCCCTCTTTGAGCAGGGTGTATGTAAATAATTCAAATGTGACTGAGCAGACGTGTGGTACCATTCTGTCACTGGTCCAACAAGCACCTGTTCTTTCTTTTTTTTTTGCACAGCTCATGGGGATCGAGATTGATCCAGAATATGGTGGCACTGGCTCCACATTTTTCTCCTCTATTCTGGTGATTGAAGAGCTGGCAAAGGTGGATCCGTCTGTGGCTGTGCTCTGTGACATCTAAAACACACTTATCAACACGCTGTTTGTTAAACTTGGTACCCCGGCTCAAAAGGAGAAATACCTCAGCAGACTGTCAACAGACATGGTGAGTTATCCTCATCCGCCCAGCATACACTAAACTATGTCCAAACAATCTTCATCATCTATATGCTTCTAAGACACCTGACAATGCTAAAATTTGTTGTTGAATGTTAAACACTCTTTTTGTAAGTCGCTTTGGATAAAAGTGTCTGCTAAATCCATAAATAAATGCTATAATTTGAAATAATCCAAACCCCTTTTTAAGTAAAATAATTGCACAAATATGTGTTGAGCTGAAATCTGAATGTATTCCACAAAAGATGGCATCAACATTTGGCAGGATTGACTTTCTGCACTACGTTTTCAAAAGCAACCCATGTGCTATAAGGCCTTTTCTACCTGTGGTCCACTGTGACAGATTGGAAGCTTCTGCCTGTCTGAGGCCGAATCGGGCAGTGATGCTTTTGCTTTGAAGACCCGCGCTGAAAAACACAAGGACTATTACACGATCAACGGCTCCAAGATGTGGATCAGCAATGCCGAACATGCCGGTGTTTTCCTGGTGATGGCAAATGTGGATCCCTCTGCTGTGAGTAACACACAGAAAATAAAGTCTGCACGGGTTGTGGACTTTATTTCTGAACCTGCCAATCTAAACATCAGTGAACTGTTTTTTTTAATGACATACTGGTGGTTTTTGGTGATAACTTAGGCTTAAATGTGTTTAAGCCGTGTTTTTTGTGTTGGAATTGCAGGGATACAAAGGTATTACCTGCTTCATTGTGGACCGGGACACAGAGGGGCTTGAGATCTGCAAGAAGGAAAATAAGCTGGGCTTGCGTGCGTCCTCCACCTGCCCGCTCAACTTTGACAATGTCAAGGTACAACCCAACACCTCGTCGGAGCAAATGTCCCTCGCTTCGCGTGAGTTGAGCTCACTTTTGGTCTCTGCTGCAGGTTCCGGAGAAGAACATTTTGGGAGAGATCGGTCATGGGTACAAATATGCCATCGGGATGCTGAACGAGGGCCGGATCGGAATAGCAGCGCAGGTACACAGTTGGACATGTTCGTCTTTTTTCATTTTTCTGTGAACCACATGAAGTTAAACAGGGAAGTTCTGCATGGGCCCACATCGCCTCTGTGTGTTTCAGATGGTCGGGCTGGCACAGGGCTGCTTCGATCAAACGATTCCTTACACCAGGCAGAGGGTGCAGTTTGGAAAGCGTATCTTTGATTTCCAGGTCTAGATCCTCCACAGTCTTTTTTCTATTATGATTGGTGACTGCACACATGATTTTGGAGGACAGTTAACAGATCAGTGAGTTCTGTTGTTGTTTACTGTGTTTTTTTGTCTGTTATTCCAGGGCATGCAGCACCAAATAGCCCACGTAGCTACGCAGATCGAAGCCGGCCGTCTGCTCACGTACAACGCAGCTCGTCTGAAGGAAGCCGGCAGACCTTTTATTAAGGAGGCCTGCATGGCTAAGTACTTCACTGCCGAGGTGAGCTTCTTTAAAATCTATTCTCTGATTTACCAGACATATTTTTAGCAACTTTTAAAAATCTCTCAACTGTTTTAGGTAATATTTCCTGTTTTCTATGTACTCCAGCTCTTTTGGGATTGCCTTGTTAACAGGAGCTTTATTTTCCTCTAATATTCTGCAGAAAAAGTAACATATTTTTTTGTTTTCTTCATCAGGTTGCAAGCCTAACCACATCAAAATGCATCGAATGGATGGGAGGGGTCGGCTTCACCAAAGATTACCCCATAGAGAAATACTACAGAGACTGTAAAATTGGTGAGGCAGTCTTTGGTTCCACAAAGCTCCACTAAAATGAATGTTGTCCATTGTTTACCTAATAACCGGGGCAGAAGTGACTCTGTGCTGAGGACGCAGCGGCTCCAGGAAGGTCATGTGTTTGTAAGTGTTTGTGATTGGAGCAGAGTGGGGTGGCGAGGGAGCCCAACGTCAGCGGCTGTAATCGGACCCTCCAGGAATTTTCCTGCCCGACTTCCTCAAAGTGGCATCATATCAGCACACAGCAAAGCAGGCAGCCAGGGCGCATTATCATTTTTGCCATCACTGCCAACATTTTAGGCTTTCCCAGCTGTCCAGCTGGAGCTCCGCCATGTTGGGCCGCACAATAAACTCTTTTGTCTCCCGATAGTGAAAGCTACAGATTTAAAACGTCAAAACAGATCGTGTTTAGCGGTGCGGTGTTTTAATCGGACGTTTTGCTTTGTCTCCTTATGCAGGTACCATTTACGAGGGAACAACAAATGTCCAGCTGTCCACTATGGCCAAGTTCATTGATAAGGAATATGACTACTGAGGCCATCCGACCCCCCAGCTGATGGATTCCACTTTGCTGTGTTACACTCCATATTTTTCCTTTAGGAGAACCAGTCCTGCTTGCACAATTCTCGTGTGAAGAATTTTACGGGAACGTGGTTTATAAAGTAGTTCCCTTCAGAGATGTTACTGATATGTCTATTTTTCACCTCATTACAGTTAAAGATCCCGTTTAGTTTTTTGCATAATGTTTGCTGTCCAATTGCTTAGAAGTCTACGCCACTTTTGTCTCTCCCATGGGTTATTATGACTATTCAGTGTAAGGATTGTTGATCTATGGTGCAGTAGTATGATCATGAACGTTTGAAGGATTTCAATTGGGATAGTTTTCAGATCTTTCAGTGCCTTCAAAGTACCTTCTCTTTTTTTGATATTTCAAAAGTGATGTATTCATATGCTCCTCTATCACAGCAGAATTGGAACAATTCACCCACTTATTTTCTCTGCATGACTAATTTTACATTTTAGAAAGAAAGTCTCTGTAAAGAAGGATCTGTCAATAGTATTCATAGTCAAAAATGTTGCAATACAGAATCTTTCCTGTTTCTGGATATTCCCAGACTGTCTCACTAGATGGCAGCACTGCCTTGATTGAGCGTAACACTTAGCAGAAAGGGCAGTCAATTATCAGTCTTTTAACAGCCTGTCACCCCTAATGATATTTTATATCAATTTAATTATGCCAGTGCTTCAGATGAAAAGAGTCTGCCTTGCTTAATTCACTCATTGATCATTTTATAGTTGAGGCTAATTAAATATCTATGACCCCCCCTTTTGTGAAAATAGAAAATAAAGGTGATTTAAAAGGCCGCTGTGTCCAAGTGTACAGGTCCAACTGCTTGCCATGTTCCCTTATTAAGAACGACACATTTTCTGCATGATCTCAACAAGGCCTCTGTCAAATGCTGATGGGTTCATAATTACGCTGATTAACTGCTGGGAAATGAAAAAAGTGTGAATCCCAAACATAGACTCCTGCAACAGTAATAAATAACAGTTCGAAACTAATACACTGTCTGTAGATATTTAGATATATGCTATTTATAATTCAAAATCAATCTGAAACTGGAAATATTCTAGAAATATAGATTGTTAAACTTACTGGTTTATACCATATTTATCGCCAATTATTCACACTTAAGTTACCTAAAAAAATTATTTTCTCCACATTTAGATAAAAGAATTACAAATCTGGATTTCATCTCAAAAAGAAAAAATGCAATGTGGTAAGATATAAGAATAATTTTCCTGTAAATGAAACCAATCTTAATTCAATTACGTGGAGCTTAAAATGTGAGGAACAAATTAGTCCTGGGTGTCCACAAACAGCTAATGCTCAACAGGCCCTGTTAGGATGTCTGTAATGTGCGATGTAACTAGATATCGATCCTCATCAGACATCTGGTTAACCTCAAGATAATGTTAGGGCTTTAGTCCCATTATTGTGGACAGGAATGACAGGTTGGAAATGAAGCTTGAGCAGAAAGCTAAATAGTATTAAGCCAATCAGATCCAATATATTTCTGAAGTCTCTCAACAAAATTGAGAAGGGAAGCTCAGTTTGCATGACAGACTGAGAGTACTTTGAGTCCCCCTTTGGACCTCTCTCAGTTGTCTTTTTAATAAACATATTCTGATGGCAGCACACAGCGATCATGCTTTTCACTTTGCCTCAGCAAAAGCAGCTCATCAAGCCTCTTTCTCCTCCCCCATCTTTAACACGGCTATGAGACCTCTAATTATGCAAGGATTCAAGTAGCTTTTCACAAAACACAGTGTTGTCCTTTAGAGTTGGAGAGCGCTCCACGAGCTAAAAGGACAGGATGTGTGCGTGTAGGTTGAGCAAATTCAATTTGTTTGATTAGTTCTCTGCATCTGCTTCAATTTTCATTTAAATTGTGAATCTTAAATCAAGATCATGTCTTTTTGTAAGATGTTTTGTCCACATAAGCCTCTTTAAATGCTAAGTATTCAATATTGAAGCATGCACCTACAAGTGTAACGTATTTGCTGATTTAAAAAGATGGATTCTCAGTTGTTTGAAATATAATCTGTCATTGAAGCCATGCATGTTACCTCATTCGCCGTCCTGATCTTTTACTATTTTATCATCTTCAATTTGCCACATAATCTAATCTTACTTAATGTGTGTCAGTACACATACAAATGTAATTAGCCTCAGATTTGCTGTTAAATTTGACAGAGACAATACTGTTGTCATCCTCGTGCATTAGATCACCTTCTGGCCCCATGGGGATATTTTTTTTTCTACAAAGCTCATGTGAAAAGGTTGTATCGAGATGGTAAGCATTCAGTTTGTGGTTTGCCTGAGGCGTTTCCTGACTAATTAAATTACACTGAAGTCTGTGAGATGTGGTCCAGGTGAAATGCAAAGTGCATGTTGCTTTTCTGTAGAGAAAAAAAGAGTCTGAGCCCCAGCAGGTCACATGAAAATATGCAAAATCCATACAAATTTGATCTTAAATATTTACCTACCAGAATAATACCTAAACCCTGTCCATTGTCATTATTGTTCATGAGCTTTTATGATGTCACATCAGTGCATAAAATGGATAAAATCTAGGATCATTTCTACATAAGAAGGCCATGCAGCTTTCAATAGTGTATGTGTAATGACCTGTCAGCCTTGTATTCAGTTTACTGGCAGGTGATTGTGGCTCGTGCACATCAACTCCCCCCCCAAAAAAACCCTGAGACATTTTCCTCTTTTATCTAATTGGATGATAAGTGGGTCCGCTACTGTTGAGCTCGGTGCCAAAACGCTTGCGCGGCCTTTTTTTCGTTGTCCGTTCTCGTCACAGCCCCCTCGCGTTTTCATCTCAAATCCCATTTGCTATTGTACCTGCCCAATAGAGAGACCGAGCGGGTTTTAACTCAGATGGCATTTCTAAATCATCATTTCAATCCAGCGCAAGTTTGACGCGGTGATCTCTGCGCTCTCACTCCGTGGAAGCGGTTACGCAGCGTTTTACAGGCTTTCTGTCTTTTCCCTGTTCCCCCATGATTTCGTTCCGCGGAGATTATAAACTCTTATAATCGTTTTCAGTTGTTTTTTTTTTTTTGCAAGAATTCTTTGGATGCTGAGCCATTCCGGACAGTAAACGGTGATGGCAGACTCTGATACGCAGGAGGCTCGCCAACCAGCCAAGGACTCACCGTTCTCCATCAAGAACCTGCTGAATATTGAAGAAAAACCCACAAAGCCCAAAAATACCATCGGCTCGACCAGAGGAGTTTTCGAGGGCAGCTTCTTTTCTCGGCTGGGAGACTTGTCTCTCCATCGGTTTGAACTACCCCGCAGAGAATCGGACTATCGGCGCAGTATTTGGAAAGAGCCTCTGCCTGGTGGTACCCGTACACGTTTGGAACACCTCTGAAAACTGGAGGTAAACTACTTGTAGCCTAACACCAGATGAGGAGTTTTTTTTCTGTTTCGTTTTGGGGGAAATGTTTTGTTTACGCGTCAAGGAAAGAGGAGCTTTTTGACACTGGTCTAATTTCACGTCATGATGGCTAAACATCAAAAGTAACAAATATTCTGTTTTAAAATGTCCAAATCGAATATTAGACTTGCAGAAAAAGAACAATTTGTTTTTGTTTTTTTAAGTAAAACAGACATTTTGTCAATTTCTCCCTGAAGATCAATAAAGTATATTCAATTCAATTCAATTCAATTCAATTACTTGGTTTAATTATTCAGTGTTCTGATGTGTAGTTTTTTTTCTTGCTGCAGGTTCTGAAAAGATCAACCCTAGGGATGCATCGCCAGCCCCAGACAGACGCACACCTGAGAAAAGTGACCAAGATGCCAAAGAGGAAAGCGCAGACGACGACATCGCTCTAGATGAGAGTGACGCAGAAGAGCTAAAGAAGGAGCCAGACCAGGAAGACGACTGGAGGAAGAAAACGGACGAAATGGACGCCGAAAAGAAGCCCTGTCGAAAGAAAAAGACGCGCACCGTGTTTTCCAGAAGCCAGGTCTTCCAGCTGGAGTCCACTTTCGACATCAAGCGCTACCTCAGCAGCTCGGAGAGAGCCGGCCTGGCCGCGTCCCTGCACCTGACCGAGACGCAGGTGAAAATCTGGTTCCAAAACCGAAGGAATAAGTGGAAAAGGCAGCTGGCCGCGGAGCTCGAGGCGGCCAATTTGAGCCATGCTTCTGCGCAGAGGATTGTGCGGGTTCCCATCATCTACCACGAGAGCGCGGCCTCAGAAACGGCCGGGGGCCCTGCCACAAACTCGCCGAGCAGCCAGTCATTGCTGGCTTTTCCCCACCACATGTACTATTCCCATTCACTGCTGAGGCCGGTTTAACCAAGAAATCGCCCAATTACCTGTACATATGTTTCAAAACGGCAACAATTCAAAAATAAATTTTGTATATTTTGTAGATTAAATGGAAACGTTAGTTCTGGTTATTATAACCCTATTATTATTATGACTATTATTATTTGTATTATAATTTTATTTTAATCATTAATATTATTGTTATGATTAGACGTGACGGCTCATTATTATGTTGAAGTCTCCAAGTGAGTCACTTTTACGCAGGAATAATAAAATGTAATGATATTAACTTTATTATTGTTATTATAATGATGTATCAGAAAAATGACTTCATATATTTTAATGTATTCAGTTGTCAAAAATGTACTTGTTTCAAACAGGGTTGGCTGTCTATATGTATTTTACAGATTTATGTATCGGTGTTCGTACCTAAAATAGTTGAATTTGTTATTTTGATATTTTCAAATTCGTGCAATACTGTTGGCTTCAGATTTGGCTTGAAGTCTCTGTCATCGTTGGCTACCTGTATTTTTTAAGTGTGAGGACAATCATGTGATCACTGGAAATAAAGTTAAAGTAATATAGAGCATTGTTTTCATTGTTTAGTTTTAAAGCCACGAAACAGCCAAAACAACAACAACAAGAACAAACATCTATTTGTAATTTTTTTCTTGTTTTTTTATATTGGTATTGAAATTTTGTGTATTTTGTGGTCTTACTCTCAGTAAAGATTGGTTCGAAAAAAGGATTCTTTTGATAAACAAGGAAGTTTTTTAAACAAGGCAGGCTCGCTGAAATTTCACGGTCACTTTGGAAACAACAGTGAGAAAAATATTAGTTTGCTTTGAACTAAAGATGTTATTATTTGATTACATGAAGAAAAATATTTCTGACATTTCTGGATCTTTTCAATAAATCTGTTTTCTCTAACATATAGTATAATATTTAAGCTAATCAAAAGTTAATAACACAGAAACTGTGAAGCAAAATATAGAATTTTACATAAATGGTGGGTTAAACTGGACAAAAAATGCAATAATTCACAATAAGTAGGATTGGTTGAATCTTTCTTATATGTACATGGTATAAAATAAACAAAAATTAGATTTACAGAGGTTCATAAAGTTGCATTCTGGAGGCTTAACTACGCAGTCCTACTGTACCATTATATAAAATCCACTCTTTGTACCTTATTTTTATAAAATTCCATCATATTCATTGATACACTGTGCATCTGTGTCCGTGTATATGTGTGTGTGTGTGTGAGAGAGAGAGAGGGAGAGAGTCAGAGAGAAAAAGAAAAGGGCAAGCGAGCAGACCGTGGTCATGTGGTACAGATTCGGACACCGGAAATACATCAAAGTAAAATCAACCAATGAAAGCGCAGGCGCGAAGTTGAAAATTCGTTTCGACCAATCAGGATCTCTCAG